ATTTTGTTTAACAAATCTTCATCAATAACCTATATTTCTAAGGAAGTTGGGGGTGAAATTAATGCTTCGTTTGGGATGACTTTCTTATTACTTCTTAAAACAACTTTCTAGTATATTTTATAAAAAGGTGCTTAAAGGCTTCATTCCCATTAATACTTTGTTACAAAAAAGGGATATTAATATGGGCTCCAAATTCCACTGTTGGTGCCATATTGAGGGCAAATTATTATGTCTGGTCACCGGACATTCGGACACCAAATTCAGACGCGTCACGTCACCTGAATACACTGGGTCCCGGTGTATTTTGGTGACGTTGCACGTTTGGATTGGTGTTCGGACGAATCTGGGCACCGGACGTAATAATTTGCCCATATTGAGACCTTAAACAATGTATTATTAATGGCCCTATTGTTATGAAAGTCTAGTTATGATTTTATGACAATTTTATCTTTCGTTTCTTTTTTTTTTTTGGCATTTTACACGGTTGATTGTTGTGATATGATGGAGTAATGAAAAGCATAGAATTATTTTGTTCTCATTCTTCTCTTGTTGTTCTTATGGTTGGAACATAGAAGAGTTGAGCATCATTAATCTAAGATATATCATATTAGAGTAACAAATAGTGTATACCATAAGATTAATTAGATTAATCTTGCTTATCTCAAATCATCTAAAAATATTAAAGGTTTTGTTTACTCTGGCTTTTTTCTTGGTTTGCAAGTCCCCAAGTGTTGTTACTTTTCTAAACATGTCATTTATTGGAGGAAGCTTGCTATTGGAGTTATAAAGATTTGGATTTTGTTTTGGGACAGCTTTTTTATTGATTTCTAAAACAGCTTTTTAGTACAAAATTTTTTGAATTATTAATTTTTGCACTAAAAAATGATGTAGGAACATCATAGCTATTATTAAGCTTAAGGACTAGCATACCTCTCATGCTCTAAATAGTTCGATTTTGCTCTATAAATAGTTAGCTAATGTAAGGGATTGAGATATTATTGAATGAATATTACTCTCTCTTAAAGCTTTGAAGCTTTGTGTTTGCCATTTTCTCTTAATTGGGATCAAATCCTTCTTACAGGTCGATTCTTCCGACGATCCACTACATCAGTTGGTATCAGAGCCTGGAGCTTGCGAAGATGGATGGACTGCAGCAGAAGAAGGTCGGCTGTCTACGGCGATCAAAGTCGAAGAATAAGAACGCTGGTAGACGACTATCGACACCAACGAAGGAGAGATATCGACGATGCACTAAGCAGCATAGCCTTCTATCAGGATTGAATAGACCAAAACCTTCAGGCAATAAGAGAATGCAAATGTCGTCGGCAACCATACCGAGGTATTCGTCTTCGCCTTCTCTCTTCTCCTCCGCTTCCCGCAAAGGGTTCTGAAATCAATCCATTATGGTTGGCGGCTACCCTCCGCTCGAACTCCCTCTCCGATGGCGCGATCCGCCACCGGAGTATCCGCAGCTCGAGCTTCCGCTGTGATGGCGACATCCTCAGCTCGATCGCGCAGTTGGAAACCATCCCGGCGCTGTCTTCGACGATTCGTATCCGTTCCAGCATCATCCACCACCGTAGATGACCGCACTTAAATCTAGCCCGGACATTCCAGCACGACCCCCACCTTACGTTTCCAACCCGTAAACACAGAGCTCTCGATCAGATTTGCCCGATCAGATTCGCCCACGAACACAGAGCTCTCGATCTGATTAGCCTGCGACCATAGAGATCCCGACCAGATAGCGAGAGACACCTCCATCACGCCCAACCCCGCTTGCGCCTTCAGTTCTGGCCGCTACGTTTCCCCTCTAGCAAGATTTTGCAGCGAATATTAAAATTGTCAAGGAAGAACGATTCGCCAGGCCCCTTTCGCCTCTAGATCCGCTCCAACACGATTCTTCCCCTGAGGGAGAAGAGAAGGATGGTATAGACATTCTGGCTTTGTCCAGCAGACCTAGTGCCAAGCGAGAATGTCTCGCTGGGTATGAATCAGCCCAGCAGCCTCCAAGACCATGTGAAGACAGAGATACAAACCCTCACCACCAATCTACGAAGATGTGCGAAATTCCTCATGCTCAGGGCGGCCAGTACGACAATCAGATTTGAGCAAAGTTCTGGGAGGTGTTTTGCAATGATCACCGTATCAACGCCCTTATTAGTAGCTTATGCAAAGCTGGAGCAATTTTCCAAAGAATACTTCTGAATAGTAATCATTATTAGAACTTGATTCCATATGATAAGTGGATATGGAAGGCTGATGAAGAACTTACCAGAGAATTGTTGGCTGGAGTGAATCCTGCCATCATCGCAAAGCTCAAGGAATTTCCGCCAATCAACTATATCGATCCCACACGTTTTAGAGAGCAGGATAGATCGATCACAACAGAGCATATAGAGGAAAATTTTGATGGCCTCATAGTAGAACAAGCACTGAATGGGAGAAGGTTCTTTATCATCAATTTTCTGGAATCTTATCTTTATGAGGCACATTTTATGGAGGTATGTAATGGTTTTCATACCTTTAGCATTGCCGAAATGAATAGAAATAATATGGAGGTATGTAATGTCACTGAGGGTTACGATCCCAATGAGGTTGTGCAAAAATTTGATAAAGTTCCAGTTGAGATTAGTTCTTCTCTTCATCTATTAGAAAGCACAAAGCAGGAGCAGCAGCATGAGTTGTATAAAGCATGTGAAGCTAGATCCTTGCCTAGAAATGATCTCATCGGTGGAGGCAAGGACAAGGAGTTTGTTATGCAGTGGTTAAGGAACCCATCAAATGAGCGTCCTGGAACTGATTTGTACATAAGCATTTCTCTTCTAGCTATAGTGGGGCATGGTGTTATGGGAAAGAAAACTCTCTTGCAACAGGTGTATGAAGATGAAATGATAAAGGAATTTGATCTTAAAATGTGGGCTTGTGTATTCAACAACTTTGATGTGGACAAAATCATTGCAGATATGTTGAATTCTCTTAAAATGAGTAGACCTCCTTTGGATACACTTTATGCATTTCAAAAGAATCTTAAATCTGAGATAATATCAAAAGGGTTCTTACTTGTGCTAGATGACATGTGGGATGAAGAGGAGGAACGGAACAAAACTAAATGGGAAAATGTACTCGCTTCTCTATCTTGTGGAGTTTGGGAAAAATTTGCTAATTTATATCCTTATAGTGATCTTTTTTTTGCCGTTGATTTCACGAGGGATTGGTTCTGTGCCAAGAAATCATATTCACCAACCAATTGGCAAATTGAAATGCTAGTTCAATTCAAGGATTCCAAAGTTGAACCTCCTCACTCGGATTGGGGGAAGTCTCTTCATGTGGTAATTTTAAAGTCTGTATTCAAAGTCTTCGATCCAGGAATCTGTTTGCTACACTTACCTCCCTTCTAATAACGTGCCTCGACGGAGTCGAGCTTTTTGACACAATGGGAGAATGATGTAGGAACATCATAGCTATTATTAAGCTTAAGGACTAGCATACATTTCATGCTCTAGATAGTTCTATTTTGCTCTATAAATAGTTAGCTAATGTAAGGGATTGGAATATTATTGAATGAATATTACTCTCTCTTAAAGCTTTGAAGCTTTGTGTTTGCCATTTTTCCTTGATTGGGATCAAATCCTTCTTGCAGGTCGATTCTTCCGACGATCCGCTACATCAAAAAATTGCTTTATAAAGCAATAAGAAATGTCTCAAATGAAGCCTTATATTGATGGAGGTGATATTTTCAAAGATTACTAGTAGGGTAGTGTTATTTTATCATTTGATTCACCTTTCACTACTAATTCAACTTCTATTATAAAGGTTATGGCTATTAATATGGATTTAAAAATTTGTTATGCTTTTGTTCATCATAATATTTGAATTGAGATGGATGCTTTAATATTTATAAACTTTATTAAAAATAAACAATTTGGTAATGCCAAGTCTTTTACTTGTTTAGAAGAACATTAACATTTTTTAATCTAGCATAAACTCTATGGAATGTAACGGTGTAGTTCTCTTCAAATTCATCATTAGATATAAGATTTTTAATTAGGTTGTTATTGTCTGCATATTGGTCCTAACTTAAAATGGTAAGTACTTAAGCTTTTTTTTCTTCTCCTTTGTTGGTTTTAACACATATTTGAAGGCTTTGGATGGACTATTTAGAGCAAAATATTTTTACTATTTTTTTAAACATTTGTTAAGCGCTAGAAAATTTGAGTCGGTATTTGAATTTAAATCCATAGAGTTTAGGTGTTTCATGATACACATCGTTAATCAAATATCCACATTATTTATTTTCTTAGAAAAATATGCTCAAAAGTTGCTTTCAGATAAAATTATCTTTGCTTTGTATCCTATCTCTAAGGGTAAAACCAATCATCTACCTGAGCATTCTCATCTCTGCCACACTTAACTTAGTATTACGGTTCTCTTTTAATTGCCAACATTCAGCACCATAAAGCATTGCAGACCTCACCATCATCTTATAGAATTTTCCCTTAAATTTGAGGGGTACTTTTTTATCACACAACAAACCCGATGCATTCTAACATTTCAACCATCCAACTTGAATTCTGATGAATTTGTCCCAACTAACCCTAAAATTTTGGGAAAATTATTAGGTAAGGACACAAGACGTAGAGATACATTCGGACATCCACTAAAAATTTGAAGGGTGGAATGTACACGTGTCCGCGAAATTTTAAGTCAAGCACGAAGCGCAAGTAAAGCACAGTCAAAAGCGCAATCAAAGCGCAGTCGAAGCACAATTAAAACACAGTCAAAGCGCAGTCCATGTGACAACTTTTTATTAGATATCTGTACCTATTCCTAGATCTAATAGTCGAACCTAATAATTTTCCAAAATTTTGAGGGCTACTTTTTAGACACAAATATATCTTAAAAAAATGAATTTGTCCCAACATTGTTAAAATCTGATTACAATTATGAGACATTTAACGTCTATTCCCCCTTTAAATACAACTAACCCTAAAATTTTCCTATTTAATTTCGACCAAAACATCCTATTGCTGCTGGAATTTCTGCCCGTAGCCGGCCGAGAGAACGCGTAACTGGCGGGAAGAGACATGGCCGCGTCACCGCTTCTTCCTGCAGGGACGACGGGAGGGAACCCAAGCCTAGAAGGAGCCGCTGCGATGCCTCCGCTGCCTGGGACCGACATGACAGGGATCTGCTTTCGGGATCAGCTCTGGCTAAACACCTACCCTCTCGATCGCAATCTCGTTTTCGACTACTTCGCACTTTCCCCCTTCTACGATTGGAGCTGCAACAATGAGCAGCTACGCTCTCGATCCATCCATCCACTTGACTCGTCACACCTTTCGTGCGCACTCAACTTCTTTATTCGTGAAATCCTAAATCGGTTCGTATTTTTGCTTCCTTTTTTGTTATTGCTGTCCAGGTAATGACGTTTAGGAAGATGACGGGAAACGAGTACATGCTGAGCGAGGTGATGGAGCCCCATTTATTTGTGATTCGGAAGGTGAAGAGAGACAGCCCTGAGAAAACCACGGCTATGCTGACTTATTATATTCTTGACGGTTCGATCTACCAAGCTCCTCAGCTCAGCAATGTCTTCGCTGCTCGCATTGTAAGCTGCTCGCATTGTAAGCTTTTGGAATTTTTTATTAAGTGGATAGGTCACTAACTAGTGTTATCGCGTGTTGTTGAACTATTTTTATCTTCTCCATTTTTGTTGTTCAAAATCTTATTTTTATTCTAGTTTTGATAAAAAAGATGGAGGCTGCTTCCTAGAAATGTATGTTAAATGGCGCTGGCTTTCTTGCCTGATTCTCCCATGGAACTTTATCATGTTCTTTCATTGCAGATTCACTCGTATTCCTGATTTTTCTTTTCCTATTAACAAGGTAGTCGGTTTCCTTTTGTATATGGGAATAGTGAGTCATGAAAACTATGTTTTCTTGAGACTATAAAATGTTTTTTGACATAATTGTGGCGAGCTGCGCTTAATCTTCTGATCTGACATTCCACATTTTCTCAATAACTTCATGATCTTGCTCGTTTAATCATTGTTCTTCTTAAATCCATTTTTTGGCTTAGCGTTTTCTTAGCCTCCGGAACTAAAAGTAAAGGAAATGCTCCTGGTTATCAATATTGAAAACTATTTTTAATAGATGTATTTTATCATTGACTTTATTTCAAACTTAATGCTTATCCTTTTGGTATAGTATAATTTACATCTATAACTTGTTACAGGGGAGATCTATTTATCACATGTCAAAAGCTTTCAGCATAGCAGCCTCAAAGTTAGAGAAGATTGGATATGGTATATTTTAAAAGAAAAACATGTTGATTGTTACAGTTACCATTTGGTTTGCTGATAACTTGACCTAAAAAAAAGTATTTACCTGCAATAATTTTCCTTTTTCTGGTTGAAGTAAAGTTAGTGGTGCAAAACAAACTAACTTCACTTCGTGGTTCAATTTTTTTAACAAACCTGCTGTTATTGCGTTTACTTTGCAGGGGTTATCCGGTTATTTTACATGCATTGATTTTGCATTGTACCAAAATCCCATTGGTGCATCCTCTTATAGTTTTGTTAATTGACATTTCCCAAGTTTATGGATTTGAAAGGGTAATGGTCAATACTTCATGTTTTGGCACAACTTAGACCTGGTGATAATCAACCATAGATGCAAAAGTTTCATATTTCTTCCATTTTTTATTCATATTTCATGTTTATGATTTTAAATTTGTTTTTGGTGTATTGCCCAAATTGTTTAAAGGGTTTTAGTTTGGGATTTGATGTAGCTTTTGTATTTTTCAAATCAATTCCTTAATAATCAATTCAATACATGAGCCTAACTCAAGTTTTTTAAAATTCAAAATTTCTTGTTCAAGCTTGGCTCATTAAATGCTGAGTTTAAAACAAACAAAAAACCAAGTTGATTACCATTTGCATTGATAATATCATTACTTGATTGACTAATGTAGTTATGTAGTTAATGAGTTTATAAATTTTGTTTAAGTTCAATTCATTTTCTTACCAAACAAGTCGAACTAGAATCAACTGTTGAACTGAATCAATATTAATTATTAACCTAATGAGGGTGTGGTAATGTCACATTTGTCAACGACAAATGGCGCACCATGGCGCAGTATGTCGTAGAGCCATATCATACCATATAGTACGACGCATGTCATTTTAAACATGATGCAAAATATGAAATAATTATAAAAAATAGGTATTAATATGAACTATCATTAAACTGAAAGATAAACTATCATAATATTAAAAGACAACCAAAGTGATGCATAACTTCCTATCTGATAGGAAGAGTGAGTCATGACCTTGGATGATGGGGAGAGCTCTTGTTACATTCGGTGGAAGTAGGCATAGGAAGAAATAATGAAAGGGTGAAGAAGGCATATCAAAGATCATTACCTTACAGCGACCCTACTTTGTGACTTCCTATCTAACGCCTTTGTCGAATGAGATGACAAAGAGGGTGTCATGAGTCGTAACTAGCAATTAAGGAGAGGGCGGCAAAAGCAGGCGAATGAAGAAGCAGGACAACCCAATCGAAGGGTTCGGAAGTAGCAAAATATTCAAACCCTCTTTCTTCGTGAGTGTCGAAGGGTTCAGGCAACAACAACTGATGTAGAACGGGAAATGAACTTTGCTAGGGAAAGGATATGGAAGAAGTTCCAAAACTCCTTTCAAAATCTGTAATATTATTTCAGATTTTTATTCAAAATCTGAGAGAAATTCAGATTTTCACAAAGAATGCTGAGAGGCGTTCAGATTTGCTCTTCGAATCTTCCCAAAATGAACACTGCCCGTGGGAATTTTCCGGTGGAGAGAAGGGAGGGAATTAAGGCCTAATTCCCTTAAAGTGTTTAAACAGAAGCTGTTGGACAGCAACTTCTATCGCTTGGCACATTCTGGACAGCAACTACCATGGGTTCCAACCTTAGGCTTGTGGGTGAGATCAGTCCAGAAATCTGGGCAGCATGTAGGCGGGGGAATTTCCGGGGATTTCTCCCTAATTTTGGGGTTTTCTCACCTCAAAGGGGATTCGAGCAAGATTGTGGCACATTGAATTGCAGATGATATACTTCTTATGATGGAACCAATCATCATCAAATTGATGGGTAAATGCAAACATCAAGAGAAAGAGAATACAACATCTTGGATTATATCTTAAAACATAAGTTTGACTTAAATGAGAAATAGCCTAATGTTGGGTGATCCTGTGATTCATAGCAATCATGGTGATATTTAGGTGCTAATCAGATCTCTATGAATCTTGAGAATGGTGGTAAAAGTTTCATTAGGATGATAATAGTGGTTGTGATTGTGGGGTTGTTGCATCAATTATATTTGATAAATTAATTCAGGATGCTCTTCTATATATTTTGGACTTGGCTAACCAACTAGCCTAGGGCCCTAGCTACATGAGTAGACCAAAATGGTACACCGACATTAGGCTTACATTAGCTTTAGCTACATCACTACCAATTTCAAGCTCAAACTTAGGCCAAATGGTGGGCGTAAAGTCATATCTAAAGTTAGACAAGGTCAAGATCAAATATTTTATTGGTCGTCGATATTAAGATGATGCTGGATAAAGATAAGTTGTCAAGTTGTGTAGAAATTGCTAGCGTCGAGTATCACTATCAAGATAGTGTCAGACTTTGATGTTGAGGTTGTTTTGAAATGTCGATGTTGTAATGATGTTAGACGTCGATGTTGTAATGATGTTAGACGTCGATATTGAGATGGCATCTGGTATTGTTGTGAAACCAAAGTCGTGACCCGCCAAAGAGAAATGAAAATGAGAATATTTGATGAATGGGGTTTGAGTGCGGGCGATTGATTTGGTATTGCGGATAAGAAATAAAAAATTTAGTTTTATATTTTAAATAAATAAAAATTTTAAATACAAGAAATTATATTTTTAAAAAAAAATTCATAAAATATTTAAGATGGAATTTTCCTATTTTTATTTAATTTTTTATTTAGTCGGACACATTTTCGGTGTGTCCAACACGTGTCGGAGGCATGTCAGACGCGTGTCGTGTCGGATATGTGTCAGACATTGCATGGTGGCTTGAGAAGATGTGCCGGTGCATCATAGGTTGCTATACCCATTTGCAATTTGTGAAATGGAGCAATGGGGTGACCTCATCAAAGGTTGTACTTTCCCAAGGGTTACTTCTAAAGTGGCCGCCTAAGGTTAGAACTTTATGGTGTAATCCACATATTATCTTTGGCATTATCTGAAATAGTGCTACTTATTCAATCAATCTTATATTTACCCGGCTAGGTGAAATTTTGGCATGTTAGTTGCTTGAATATCCCACAAGTCACCTCTTGATGGCCATCCTTCTTTAGATAGTCATTCTACCAAACTAGGCTTCACTCTGGATAATGCAACCTTGTCATAAGTGTTATAACCATATAAGGTGAAGTAAGTTTCCAACCGATCAATCTATACACCTAGTTTCTTGACATTAATTGTATCAACATATGTAGGCATCTTCACTTTGGCTTTCACTTATGGTCACATACTTCCTTAATGAGAGGTGGCCTTATTCTGGCCGTCATCCTCTTCATTCATATTTGCATTTGACATGAAAGAAGAAGAAGGAATATGACTTAGCCACTAGTCACAAACTCGTAGTGGTGGTATTCTGCCATTAGCCATTGATTGACTCTTTTTTTTCCCTTCTCACTCTTTTCTCTTTCATAGCTTTTGATGTGATTCTAAAAAAACAAGCATATCCTTTTTCTGTTTGTCCCATCAATAAGGAATGATGCTCTAATACCAACTTGATCCATTGACTTAT